TCAGTTACTACAGATAGCAGAAAGTGCATGTCTTTGGAATTGCAGTGTTTTTTGTTCTATGGATGAGTGGAAAGGAAACTATCCCATTTAAGAAATACCCATGAAACAAGGCAGAAATGGAGATTTATCGCTGAAGTATAATGGAAAGGCGTATTTTTCTCTGTGATCTGTTCACCTCCAAGATCAAATACAATTAGAAAAACTCCATATGCTGTTCTCAGAAAAGACGATATCAGTTTTCTGAGGGTGAAAATTATCAAACCTACAGTTTTCTTATTAAACTTATTGTCTTCTTACTAAACCTGAATCTTGTAAGTCCCTACCAAAGGACTAATAAACACTTAAGGTTGCTTTTTTGCTGGGAAAGACAAATTGAACAATTGTGGACTTCTTTGGGTAAAAGTTACTTGACTATGTTGATTCACAATGGTGGTAGATGCAGCTGTGTTAATGTTGTGCATTGAAAATCAATAAAGCTAAGCATCACGCTGTCCCCTCAGAGGTTGGTGCCTTAATTTGTCAGCACTTGGATGACGCATTGCAGCTGACCTGAAGCTGCCGCGTAAACTCAATCAACTTAGAAAAAAACAAGTCCCTGGATAAGTTTGGGATAGGTTATATTTAAACCCAAGCAACTACCTCAGCCAACCCTTTTCTAGCTGAGATCCACACACACCACTGGCCAGAGATCTGCGTGGAGAGAGGTCGCATCCAATCAGCTGTCTGAGCCTGGGAAATGCAAAACCCCTATAAAAATGGCAGCTAGATTAAACTCATTGCTGTTTGCTGAGGACTCAGTACTGTGTTGTGGAGGCCAGTGAGCCTGCTAGACTTCCTGGGGCTATGCCCTGGACGAATGCTCCCTAAACATTAACCTCTCCCATGGACTCCTGTGACATGCTATCAATCAACCCCCATGCCACTCCCCTGTAGGCCCGTTGGCTGTCCAACTTCCTGTTAACCACATATGGTCAAGGTTCATGTAAGAAAGCAGTTTCTTTGTTCTTTGTAGCCTCATTGAACCCTGTCTTTTTACCCTTGTGTTTCCCTACTGGTCACTGTAATCCTTTTCCTGCCCACACCTTCAGGTGATTGTTGCTGTTGGCTCTTCCCCTTTATACCAGTGTATAGTCCTGGACCCTCTATCTCTCCCTTTGTCCCTGGACCCTTTGAGTGTGTAGGTGAAATAAACTACCACTGGAAACCTATACAAACACCCTTACTGCCTCTGCCATCTTAGATAAGCAGCTATGGTGTGTGAGTGTGGTATTTGCTGTGTGTTTGGTGGAGCGGTCCCCTCATGTGGATGCTTCAGGAAGGTTGCAGCAGTCTGCCATCTGCCCATGCTGCAACATCGTGTCATGTGTCTGTCACCAGCCCACGACTCCACATAACACTTGGAAATTTCTCATGTCCATTCTTCTGAGAAATTCCTGGTGTAATTTTATGAATAGTAGAACAAAATTTAGTACATAGTCTGTGTTTGCTTGTTAAAGTGGAGCTTCCTATCCTTACTTTTTTCATGGCAATAAATACATAAGAAGACCAACATTTTACCAATAACTTTTTGTAAATATTAATGTTGTAATTCATAATTTTCCCTTCTTGTTTGTTTCACTAATATGCAGTTTTAGGCGAAACCTCAACTGTTTTTTACAGACTAGGATATAAACGAAGATTAGAGTATATGAAGAAAGTTCTTGGTTTTGGAGGGGACTTATTGCATTCATAGAAACTAATGCATAAATATTACTTATTATGCATTAGTATTCTAGTGTTCATAACTAAGTTCATAGGGGTTTAAACTCATTTAACTTAAATGCTCTTAGTAACAATTAAAGGACTGAGTTTCATGAACAGTAACATGTACATCCATATACAGGGTTTTTTCAGAGGCATTTTATAGCAACCCCATACTGTTGTCTTTTCATCAACTTTATCTCTAAGATGTTTTTTTGGGTGTAAAAACGAGATGCCATAATTAATTTAGCCCAAATATTCCAAGTATATAAAAACTCATTATCTTTTATAACTGGTAGTTCTGCTCTGACAAATGTTTATCCAGATTATACTGTCTAAACTATATGGTAATTTGCATATCAGAGATGGTGAATGTGGGAAACAGTCAACTGCAATACATATTTAATTTTTTTTTGTTCTTAAAATTCTTTATGTTAATCACATGGAGTGTTTCTAAGTATGGGGTAACAGACATATATCATAATCCAAGTCTATTTCTTTTTATTGAAAAAGGACAGACCATGATATTATTCCATGAGGCCAGATGCACTCAAAATTTGCAATACATTTGTCTGAGAAGGTCTGGTTCTCAGAGGTAATGCAATAGAAAGGTCAGAATTCTGATGTTTATACTGAAAGTAGAAGTGTAATAAATCCTGCAAAATAACCATTTACATGCACATCATTCTTTCAGAAAGAATTTTATCATCATTATGTCATTCTCATTGATATTCTGTGGAAAGAGCTGAACTGGCTTTACTGAACTGAATACTCTGTGTGTTAGTTTTGGGTTAGATAATTCCTATTCAGTACAGCATTTAAGAGAAAAGCAAGATTAACACCCAGTTCTGTTTAAAAACTATTATTAAAAGCTTAGTAAAAGTAAATCAAATTTCTTTCAGTTTCAAGGATATGTAGTGATATTCTTAGGGAATTTTCAGCCTCAGCTATAAAAAAAGCCCAACTTAGCATCTGTCACATCTCTTCCCTACATGCCAATTAGGTAAGGCACATAACTTTCAAAGAATATCTGAAAATGAACAGGATGCTCCTGAATCTTTTATAGCTTGTTCCAGAACTTATTTTAGATAACTTTGCTATTACTCTTGTGGTAGCCACAGATGTGACAAAAAGGTGTTCTCTTCTTGTGATCTAGTTGAGTGTGATTTCCAAGAAATCAATAAGAAATGGAACATAAAGTTCCAAATATTTGATGACTTTTTTTTTTTCCTAATTCCCACTTTAAGTCACATCACTGCTCTTGCAGGAGCTGTAGATGAATCAAAGTCCTTCTGATCTTGAGGAATACAGTCAGTGCAGGTAGCTTGGTGAGCAGCTGCAGTGGGAGCTCTGGGTGTTCGGAGCCCAGGCAAGAGGTCATGCACTGATAACCCTTTGCATAATAAAGGGCATGGGGACCTGTGCCCATCCAGGTGACCAGACACTCAGAGACACCGCAGAAGCTGAAGAGTCCAAGACGCTGCTATGCGCTTTGACTGTGAAAGTATAAAAGCCCGGGATTTTTTCTGTTCAGGGTCCCTCCTCAGAAGTACCAGCTCAAGCTGTTAGTTTTTTATATGGTTATTGCATCAAGACCAAATTATTTTAAGGATTGAGACATCTGAGATTCTGCTATAGGAAATTTGGGGTCGAGCCAGTAAGGAGACCTAGTATGACTATGTGAGTTTGATGTGGGTAGATGCCGAAGGGCGTCTCTCCCAGCTCAGTTGATGCAAATGTGACTGCCAAAATAGTAGGATATTTAGGAATAATCTACGGGATGTTCTAAGTGAATTCAAATCTCTGAGATTCACAGTTTGTATCATTGGCCCATAAGTAATAATTGATGTATAGTTACAGATTACAGCATCTCATTGCATGAAGTTTTGGTCCGTCATACAGTAAAGTATTTCTGGTAACTGTCACTTGTTTAAACTTTTGATCTACTCATGCCAGGAAGGTTTAGCATTATATTTGTTGTCCACCCTGTCTACCATCAGCACTTACCACCTTGATATCTTCAAAGTTTTGTACCCTCAAAATGAAACTACCTCCACCTACCCCTCTACTTGTAAACCTGATGTGGACTTTGTTCTTCAGGGCTTATGTGAGTGGTTGCAGTTGTTGTTTTCTCCCCTCTGGCCTGCATATATATTTCCATCCTGTAGTGACTGCAGTTACCAGTGGGAGTGATGTATGCCTATGTCTCATTCTAACATAGAACTGGAAACATATCTGAATCCAAAGGACAGCACTATCAGACACCCCATTTTAAACACAGGAAAATTTGTGTGGTGTCTTATAAAATGAATCTATTGGTGTTTTTTTCAGAAAGTGTTTTCTAGAACAACAAACATTTTTCTGCAGTTCTCTAAATGTATAATTAAATTATTTTAAATGTATCATTGCTGCTTGAGTGTAGTTTAAATCCTAAGAGAATCCCCTAACTTCTCACTGAAAACCCTGCATGTCCTCAGTGTCCTCTGAAATGTGAGGGATTGACTCTTCCATTTCCTGGGATTCTCATTGGTGCCAGGGTTCAGCATGTAGGCTTCCAGAGCAACAGTAATATCTGTCATTTTCAATGAATACAAATCTCTAACAATCCATGTTTGTACAGTCCCAGTGGAAGCATGTTGTGTCAGCTGTACTTGCGGTGCTTTAAAGGCTTTATTAAGTCAGCTGGCAACACACCCTGTCTCCAGGCACTGGCTTTTATGGCAAAAGACCTAAGAGACTTTTTTGTCCCTTCCTTTTTTTTTTTTCCTTTTTTCCCCCCCTCCTATCCCATGTTAACTAGCTGTCAGAATGTCAGAAACACAGGTAGTGATTTTATAGAAATCTTATGGGTGTGTTGTTATGTTCGTAACACCCACAAAATAGTTTACAGATGAGCACTTTTACCCACCCACACAAACTTACACGTACGTGTGCACACACTGTCAAGTACCTTTATGCAGTCTGGTATTAATTCTGATCAACTTATTACCACTGATTGATAGACAAGCTGAATCAGCTCTCTTATCCCACGTAGCCATTTGAAAGGAGGCTATGACAAACTGCGTGTATTCCAGTAAAATTCCATGCATACTTTGTCCAGTGGCCTTTTATGTAAGAACTGTACTTTCTGTTTGCTTTAATGTAGAGAAAATTGTTTAATTGGTAAATGTTAAAATATTAGTTTGCTTAAGTCATGTTTTGAGAATCAGTTGTTCAAAGACTGAACTTTGCAGTGACATTCAGAATCTTTTCTCTTGCAGCCGTTTCGTAGAGTGACGTTTTCTGTTGTGAGTCAGCCTCAGGACCCGCATCAAGGGTCATTGCAGAGTTGCTATGACAGCGGTCTGGAGGAGTCAGAAACACCAAGCAGTAAGAGTTCATCAGGGCCAAGACTGGGTGCCCTTCCACTCCCAGAGGACAACTACGAAAGGACTACGCCGGATGGCAGTGTTGGTGAGGCAGAGCATATGGAAAATGGTAGGGGCAAACACAACATTCACACACATAATCTCACTAGCAAGTGATACTAAGTAGACTTTTGAAAGGTCAGTCCAAAAACATAAATAAATATATTAAATAATTAATATTGTAATTATTTGATTTTAAAGTTTGTTAAAATGCAGGTATACAAAATAATGGAACATAACACCACTAATTAAAACAGCTTTTTTTCACATTACTTAAAATCTGTACTTCAGAAGCAGTTAAAACACCAAAAAAATATCAGTAGAGGTTTGGGGAAATGGTATTTGAATAAAAGTACATACTTTTCATTTTAGATAAAAGACCATAAAGGACATATATATCCTTATTTCCTTCCATTTTGGACTAAAAACCTACTTAGGAAATTTCCCAGAATGCGATATATACAGTATCAGGAAAAGAAAATAGTATTTTAAAACCCCACTCTAGAGAATTCTCTTTTCCCCAAAAAAGTTGTATAGACTGTTTTCAAAATAAAACACAATGTTAAGTCCATTCTTCATTATTCAGATAGAAGAATATTACTTTTCTTTTCTTCACATGTTATTTTGGACAGTACTTTTACAATATTTCATTTAAATTCAGGGTCCATTTATGTAGAAGGGGAAAATGATAAATACTTATTTGCTCCATAGTAATTCTCATATTATTAAAAACCAAAAAAATATTAGTATAAGTTTCAGGTTAGGTTGTTTTTCTTTCTATCTAAAAATATTCAGGATTTAAAAACCAAAAGGACTTACTCTTTTGAAATATATTTTACCAAACACAAATATTTCACTGTTCTCCACTTTTTTGCGTTGATCTTAAGTTTTATGAAGTCAGAGACTGACTTCATTGTATTTTCATTTGCCCATAAACAACAAAATAAATTAATACATGTCAAAGTGTACAGATTTTTGATAATCAAAGAATTAATGTGTTTTCTAATTCAGTTCTAATAGGTGGGTACATGCAAGAAAGGTGGTATATTTTTTTGTTATAGAATGAATTAATTAGTTTGGCTAAGTGCATGTTAGTTTTTGGAGATTGCAATACTGAATAATTGTTCTTGGGGTTTTGTCTTATCTGAGATAGACATGTCAACCCATTAAAACGATGCTATTTTTCATGGGAAGATATTTCCAAATCTAGTGTACATTGCTGAAGAATGGCTACAGCAGTCTACATATGCTTGAACTGTATATCCCAATAGCAAAAAAAAGTAATTGACTGAAAAGGAAGACAGTATTATCCATCTAAACTTATATTAGGTTATGCACATTTATACATTTGCATTTATATATTTTCCTTCGTTGTTTATATGAATATATTTGTTTACTTTTCATTTTTCTGGGGATGTGGTAGGGGGAAAATGTGGTAGGTGATAATGGTATTAGTGGAAAAAATTTCAGGAAAAAAGCTTGTAGAATTTGTACCTAAATTGGGCTGATTATTTTATTGTCTGTTTTGTGTGGTTAGGATGATAAAATTAAACAACTTGTCAATTCCCTTGGACATCCCACAATATAGATAATTTGTAGACATTAAGTTCTGAATTCAGAAAGAATTTTAATATAGGATATGCATGATCCATACTGGAGAAACTGTAGAATCAGAAATTAATATATTTTTAATGTATTTGGTAGCCAAAGAAAAAGAAAATCACACTAACTGAAGTGAAATTGAAAATGAAAAGTGCTTGAGCCGTGTCATAGGTTAAATCAAAATAGTTAAGTTTTTATATTGATGCAAAAACTGGAATTACATTCTAATAACTAAAATATTTTAGATGCTTCTTTTTTTGAAAATAGATTATTTTATATTTGGTAGGATGATTTTCTTGGATTTGGTTTTAAAAATAGTATTCTAACATTAATAGATGGAAACATAGAGGTAGATAAATACATTAGTTCATGGCGAATGAACAAAAATCTCCAGTAAAAAAATTTTGCATGGTAAAATATGAATAGAACCAGGATTTCCTCCTTCTTTATAAAACCTTGAACAGAAATCTTTAAAAGCTGGGTGATACTGTGGTGAAAATTTTACTGTACAGTTTTCTGGATTTTTCTGTCACATTTTAAAGACAAGATTTTAACAGTGTCAAGTCATCTACCTTCAGGAATTTCTGTTAGCAATAATCTATAAATAATGATGGAACAGGATGGAATATACTTTTGCTCCTTCGTATATGTATTACCTGATATTTGAGTGAGAGTTTTCTGTCACATGATTCTTAAGTCCACTTGTATTTTAATTATTGAATTGTTCAAATTCTGATAATTTAATCTTCAATAATAATGGATCATTCTGACAGAAATAGAATTGAAATTGAAGTCTGTCAAGTGTGCATTTGTCACATTTAATTGGAATCTAGGTAATCTGCAGTGTTTGGCTAGTTTAAGTTTTAATCAGGATTTATACTGGATTTTTATGAGGATTTTTCATGGAAACAGCATTTTGGAAGTGATTTTGGTCATTAATTTCTACTTCAAATATTTACCGTTTAATTTCAGTTGGTGTGAAACAATGCAGTTATAACTAATTGCTTTGTATTTCCTTTCATTTTAAAATTTGAAATAATAATCTTCAGCACAGTACATGAAACCTTCCAATATGTTTCCTTCTTTTTTTTTTTCAAGCCTAGATGACTAAGTAAAACAAGTAATCTTTATAGCTAAAGCAAATTTAAAAGCTTCAGTTCACAGGCAGAGTATATGGGAAATTCAACTTTCTATTTGCTGTTAAGAGTTTCTTTACATTTTCTCAGTTGAGAATAAAACACTAGAAAAGTGGAAAAAAACGGATAAGGGGGTTGATTTTCTTAGAATATGGTGAACATTGCCCAGCAGCCTACATGACTGTCAGATGTAGATTGAAGTTTTATTCTGCTGATTAGCTGTGGTGTCAGATGTGGGAGAAAAAAAAAAAGAAAGAAGAAAAAATGTTAGCAGATTGACTGTGAAAATTCAGTATGCAAAGATCTTGTTAATTAGCAAAATCTGCAGAACCAAAAGTAACTTCTGAGTTAATTTATCCCCTGCCCTTGGAGCTTTCCTTGCAAAGAAATTCTGCTCATATGTGCAGCATTCTCTGATTTTGCTGTTAGAATGGTACTGTCTTAATGTAAATTGCACAATAATTTTCTGAAGAACATTTCCATTACATTCATATTTGTATATCAAGGGCAAATACATTACCATGGTAAATTAGTTTCCTGGTCTTTTGTCATAGCTTTCTAGTTCTGACCATGCCTAATGCGACATCTCAGAAGAAAATTTTGAAAACACTCTGTGACAGAAACTTCCGGAATTACTTCTCCTCCTGACCTCAACAGTTAATAGTCATCATGTGATTTTCTAAATAATAATAATAATAGTACTAAAACCACACTTAATTTACCACAAGATAAGTTACTGGCCTGAACAATGTCTTTCAACAGTGAAATCCTGTGAAGGCTAACAAAAATATTTGGGGTTCATTTTTTTTAACTCTTACTTAACTGTTTAGTGTCTGTTCCTTTTGTTTCATTATGAAGAAGAGCATGGAAACATTCCATTTTAGTTTTCAAATACTATGGATTGTTATGTTTCCTTATAGTTTACCTTTCCTTTGAATTATAAATCTTCCTAGGTTATAAATCTTCTTCTAGCAAAGGTAGGGATAACTGGAGATGTATTCCCAAAATCAGAAGAATGGACAAGAGAGCCTTTTCATATTAATTCCTATGTTATTAAAGATATGATCTTTAAATAGAGCTTTCATTGTTCTGTTTCGTTTCTCTTCACCTGGTTCCATTAGGTCTCTCCCATGTTTCTTGCAACTCTCAGAAATATTTCATTATATTCCTTTCCCTACCCTCCAATTTCTGCATTCCTACAGTTTATTTATGCATGTAGTGGCCTAATCAGGTTGGGGTTTTTGTTTTTTTTTTTTTCAATTTAGCTAGAGGACCTACAGTGGTGAAACTGCAGCACTGCAGGTTATGGCTTGTATGATCTTCCCTCGAGATTTGTTTCCATGCAGTCCTAATTAAACTGTATGCCACACCTGAGATATCTGCCTTAAAGCTAGCTCAGGTACTTCTACATGAACATGTCTTTGATCTGCAGCACAGAATGTTAGGTTAGCCCATGTTTCAATATCAAATACAGTTGGAGAAGAGCAGTCGTCTTTGTGAAAGAAGGAAAATAAGGAATGGTTTACAGATTCCATTTTTGCAGGGGGAAATGGAGTAAAGAAAGATTAAGTGACATGTCTGAAGTCACAGATAAAGTAAGGAGCAGAGCTTAAAAAGGAGCTCAGAATTTTTGTGATTCAGTTACTTGACTCCCAAAAAGAAATCAGTAGATAAATTACGCTCTGACTGACACATGAAATAAAAGCCAGGGAAGAGAAGTGCATTTCCTTGGTTCACATAGTCTGATAATATGCTCTATTTTCAATTACAATTTCAGATTTAGACTGCAAGAGTCAAAGTTCCACCATCAGTATAAAGAAGGGATTCATAATATGTGACAGGATGGCTTGAAAATGTGAAGTGAATTTTGACAATTAATACATATAATTAATTTTATCTATAAGACCATTCTCTCACTTTTGCTTGTGAAATAGATTCTTAATCTGTTCTCTGTACCAAAGTGTGAAGAAAATAATACATTAATTTAGAGAAACCATCTTTACAGAATCTATTTTCCTTTAGCTTTTTATAGTGCAAATAATACAGCTTAAGGTTCCTGAAGACTTAACTGTCCTTATTGTATAATGGCAAACAGACACTCGTTGACTTATTTCAGAGAATGACTGCATTTTTGCAGTTCCCATTATTTTCAAATGTTCTTTCCTCCTGAATTCAAGTCCTAAAATTGCATAAGAATAATTTTGTTTTAAAAGTGTATCCTGAAAATTGATGTAAGTAGTCCATCTCAGAAGCTGAGTCAGTAAAGGTTTTTAGTGTAATGGTTACACAGTAACTGTTCCTTTCTTGTTTGGTTGGTTTCTTTTTATTCTGT